TTTCCTTTCTCCCCAGAGAGAAAACTTTGCCTTCACTGACTTTCCAGGCAAATCTTGAAAACCCAGAATTCAGGTTGCTGCGCTCCAGAGGCTGGCACCGCAGACTTGTCTTAGTGCACATGAAATGGGCTTTGCCCATCTAAGACCTGTTTGTTGACCATGCAGGTTGGGCTGCAGAGTTGAGTGACTAGTTCTTTCTCTGCACACCGGAGCTGTCAGTGCTTGTGTTTCCTCTTGACAGTGATTCAAGCTGTCTAACTTTGTTTCCTCCCACTTTCCTTTGTGGTAAGTGACCATATGAAAAATGCTGCTTAATACGGGTGCGCTGCCCCCCACTGCCTCTCCTGGATTGGAGAATGAACTTGCAGAACAGCAACTTCGGACAGTTCTCTTAAATTCTGCTCTCATCTGGTTTGGTATAGTAGCATTTTCCTGTTGCAGGATGCAGGGAGGGGAAAAAGGATGGGAAGAGCACAAATGAAAAGCCTTTTAAAAATCATCTTCAAGTTTTTAGAGGAAGAGAGATTAAATGTGCTCAGCTACTGCAAATCCAGCGCCCATCTTGGGGACAATAGTCTGCAGCAATTCCCCGGTAGCTGAGAGTTATCCAGGGAATTCCTCGGCGGAGCGTATGCTGTCACACAGATGACTGCGTCCTTTGGAGTCCTCCAGACAGCGGACAGACAACAGCCTCTAAGGACATTTAGAAAGAGATGCTGGAGGAGCATCTGACTTGGCTTTCCTCTGCCTTCTACAGAAAGCAGCACAGCTCCTGTAACTTGCTAACCTTGGGATAATGCTGAGCAGCTGCAAGCTTTTGCATGTGAGTCTGTGCTGGCAGAAGTTGTAATAACTTGAGTTCTTGTGCTGAACAGCTCCGAGGTGGCCTCCGCAGCACGTTTGCCTAACAAATGGGCTTTAGATCACACGATAACGTGCAGCAGGCCTGCAGGCGCATCTAGATAACCGCTGCCCCTCCTTGAAAAGTACCATACTAGACTCCTTCAGCCACACTTTGATTCTGATCTGCCTTCACTTGGGCTGCTCCAGCACTGAGAGTGGAAGTAACTACAAATCTCTTGCAAAATAATCCTGACATCCCATTTTGCGCTCCAGATGGACAACACCACAGTACAGTTATTATTAGGCAGCCTCTATGAGCTCAGGGACCCACCTGTAATTCCCCCTCCCTCAAGGTTTTCTTTCTTCTCCCATCCTGCTTCCCCATAACAGGTAACAAAACGCGGACCCGAAGGCTAAGGCTACAACTCATGACGGTGTCCCCTGCAGTCCCCCTTTTGACTCGCTGAAGGGTGGCAGGAAGAGATGGCTTTCTGGGGAAGCGAGGTAGCTGAAGGCATCTAAATGGCCGTGGTGGGAACCTGTCGCCAGTGCTTCCCGCACCCAGCTTGGCTCTGCTAGGCTGAGCCGAGAGCTGAGCGTGGGACCGCAGGACGGGAGCATCGCTTGTTCCTCCCGCTCTCCCCACAAGCCCAAGCGTGCTCCCAGGTGAACAAGAAAGCCTTCGGTTCCTCACTGCTCCAGAGTCCACTGCTGGGCTCTGGAAAGCTTCCAGGCCTTAACGTGCCGATTCCCTTCCTCTGAAGCAGGAGACAGTGTTGCTAACAGTGCTGTGCCTGTCCCCTTGCCGGACGCGGAGCTCTCACTGAAGTGCTTCTGCACACTGTCTCTGTCGGCTTTTGTTTTTTCTTGGCTACATATTTTAGCCATGTGGTCTGCTGTTGGGAAGAGCAGCTGAGCGCTCTCTGGAGCAGTGCTCTAGCAAGATAGATGTGTTATAACAGGCAAAGGGGGCATTCTTGAGTTCTTTCTCATTTTGGGTTGTTGCAGTGGGTGGTTTTTTTTTGTTTGTTTGTTTTTTTTTCTGGAAGCGTTTTGCACTTCCTACAGCATTAAGGTCTAGCTCTTCTTGAGTCCGAGAGGACGGTTCAATTTGGGGCAGTCTGCAGCAGCTTGGTGTAAGCTATTATACAACCAAACAGTAAGTTGGCTCTGCAGTACGATGCTGAATAACCTGTCTGAGAGACACGAGCAAATGTGATACGTCTTTGACTTTGCCCTGGGTACAAGCGGGATGATACGAAAGGATACCCAAGTACCCTTTGCCTGACAAAGCTGCCTGAAAGCGATGTTAGTGTGGCTTGATTGCTTCCAACTGGCCTAGTATGACCAGGTTCTTTCCAAGAGCTTTAACTGAAGTGAATAATGCTTTCATAAAGAAGGCAAAGTAAATCTTGCTAAATGACAAAGACAACATAACATTCCTGGCTGAAATCTAGCAATAAATATCCTGTGTACTGATGAATCTGTATCTGGAGCCTTGAGTGCCAGAGGATCGTGTTTAAATTGGAGTAGGCTGACTCTTTGTTAATCGTAATTAAAATCAGCAAGCAGGAAACAACAGATGCTAATCGGAGTCTCAATTTTTCTTGGAATCCCTAAGAGTTGATTCTCAGGGGTGACTATTCAGGTGCAGAGTACTTCGAGAGCTACTATGCTAAGCACAGTATTAGGCGGTTGTGTTGTGGTTTTTTGTTATTCTTGTTTGTTTTTAAATTGACTGTCACAGTACACCGACTAAAAATGCCTGAGCCTGGGATATGTTGGCTGTACCTACAGTTTTTTGAATGAAACGGCGTAAACTGACATTAAAATACAAGCTGCATTTCAACAGCAGTGCCAACGAGCTCACTCATCCTTACGTATGCTTTGCCACTACGGGCTCTGTTAGACTGTGCTCCGAGATCCTGCCTTCACAGGGATTTAGCCTGTCTGTCCCGGGTGCAGTGCCTCTGCACTGGCATGCTGGCATAAAAAAAGTTGTCTGCAAGATTTTTTTGCAGAAGACTTGTGCTCACTTTGGTGGTGTGGGTTGGTTTTTTTTTTGTTGGGGTTTTGGGTTTGTTTTTTAATGGGGGAGAACAAGGCATTTTGCAGATGACTACAGTGAGTTTCAGGAAAGCTTATCCCTCCAGTGGGGAGACAATAACTAGTATATGCATGCATTGCAGTAATATTTTCAGAGTTCTCCGGACACAGGAGGCTTTTGATCTCTTTGATCAAAACTACTTGGAGTGGGGGAAGAGGAGAAGCAGCATATGTGACTGGTGGCTTGAAATGGCTATATGTAATCGCGTTGCCATGAACTTGTCTCAGTCCTCTCTGCGTGTTCCTTCTAGTCACAGTGGGGAAAAGAATAGGGTTTTCTGCAATTTTTAGGTTTCCTAACTGCATTTTTCAGCTTATGTTTATATCAGAAGGAGTAACATTCTTGAAGACCAAAGCTGTCTTAAGTTAGCTTTATGCCTGGAAGCTACTTCTGAAAAACTTAAACCACTGGAGTGGGAGTCACTTAACTAAGTAATTAACTAAATGGAAAAACCATTGAATTTTAAACCTGATTTGCCTGCAGCAATTGTGATTTCATGGTGCTTATGTTCTGGAGGATGCTTAATGCTACAGTGTTTGGAGTTCTTAACTGAACATATTGCTTACCTGCTTCAGAAAACTCTCAGTTGCTGTCACTACACAAAACATCTCTGCCCTTTTAGCAAAAGTTAGTAGCTTGTCTCTGTCAGAGAGTAGAGCAATCTGACTATAAATAAATGAACAAACGAGAAGCCAGAGCACTTCTGGAGTTTATTATCAAGTAAGTGATACTGTCAAACTAAAGTCCAGTGGACAGTCCAAAGCCACACAATTATTGCAGGCCTTGACATGGCAGAACTATTTCATGTCTGACTATCAATAAACAAGATGATAGTGTGTTCTGGGCCTTTAATCTGTTGAAAACTGTCCCACTAAGCCCTCTCCAAGAGAAGGAATGTCTTTTGGTTTTGTGCTGCTGACTTGTTCCCCTTCCTTCCCCCTCCCCTTAGTGCCTTAACTGCAGTAGTAGATTGTCCTCAGTGGGAGAATGAATTTTCTAAAGAAGCCTGGAGAGAATCCCACAGAGTATGAACTGAGATAAAAGATGTAATGCATTACAGCTTGACAGAGGACATGGAGTCCCTAAGTGTCTCCAAGTGGCAAAGAAGTACTCGCTCAAAATCAGCCCTCCTGACCCCTATTCCCAAAGCGCTCCTAAAGAAATGGATATGCTTGAGCTGGAATGTTTGGCCACAGTTGCTCTGTCTCCTAAACATGACTGGGAATATGTAATCCATCTGTTACGTTTGGCCACGCTTCCCACTTGGCTACATGGCACAGAAACCTAAGTATTCCGGCTGGGCCTATAAATCCGATTTGGACACACTTTGTCCGGCAGCAACACCATTAGTATAGTACCACTTTTCTCCAAGAACACTAGTCATTCCTCTGCTGAGAGGTAGTAAACAGATGACTGAATTGTGGCGATCTAGCAGGAAAAGAATTGTTCTCGTGGACAGTTGCTGTGTATGTAACAGATTTCATATGTGTTTTACCTTCAGTTACAAGAATTTAAGCTAATGAGAGTGCTGGGAAACAGAATTTCCATGGGAAAATTGCTAGGAAAATTTTCCTGCAAACAGTAATTCCAAATGGCTTTTCTTAAGCATTACTGTTCCTCTGAACTGATGTCTAGCACTAGCTGAGCTTCAGAAGAATTACGCTTTTCTTACAGAAGTGGGGAATTACTGGCTTGGAATGCAGTTTGAGCACCAGGTCTGCTGTGGAACTGGCAATGGTAGCCGCTTGATCGAAGACCTTTGGTCACACTGCAAACACGCCCTTGAGAACTAACTCTGTAATTTAGCGTACTGGTATCTTGACTAAGCAGGTGAAGAGTCTAGGTTGGAGCAGCTGATCTTGCTCTCAGGAAAGCTGCTCAGCAGGTTGGAAAACAAAGTAGCATCACTGCCTTCAGTCCAATTATGAAAATAAATGGCAGTTACGATTCTGGAGGTACAGATTTCAAACTGTTTCATGTAATAGCCATGGATATGTATATATTAAAAAATACATACAAAAAGATAACCCAAATAATTTCTTGTTCCTAGGAACTCCAGGAGCTTAGCAAGCAATATAGCAATATCAAGCTCCTCCAACTGGGTGAGTAAAGGGCTTATGCAGAAGTATGTTCAACTAAAGTCAGGTGAGTGCATCTTAAGAAACTGGTCTCCTGGGTGATCAGTAGCTGTACATGACATCAAGCAGCTAAACATTATCGCCTTCATCTGGAGAAACATAATCTGTGTAAAGTCTTCTGGGCATTGTCATCTCTGTGTGCTGCCTAGATGCCCCCATTCAGACTGATGTTTTTGCTTTGATTTAGCATGTGTTGTGTAGTGACAGGTGGCATTTGAACCACACAGTTCACTCTTCACTGTGGCTATTCTTGGCTCCTCTGTGTAGATGTAGTCTGTGAAAACAGCATCAAGAAAGTAGTCAAGGAAGTGGAAGAAATTGTGGGAGACAAAGGTCTGAACTGCCTCATTAACAATGCCGGCATCAATGTGCTTGCTTCCTTGGAAGAAGTCACAGCAGAGACAATGCTCACCATTTATGAAACCAATACAGTTGCCCAGCTGATGGTCACCAAGGTAAGAATTGAGAGGAATGTGCTTAATCTATGGTACTATAAGAGGCATTTCCACTAGTGAGCTAGACAGTAACCTAGGCATTTGTCACCTTGGAACTCCACACATACAGGTCTGGTATCAAATGGCATGCCTAGAAAGCAGCAAGAGATCCTTTCCGTCAAAGACCTTTCACCTTTATTTAAATCCATCTGGTACGAGATCAGTTTAGTGGACAGGCTGGGCTAGGTGGTGGACAGAAGAGACTGAAGGTCCTTGCTTCTTAAAGTTGGCTGTTATAGAAAGGTTTCCTATGGTCAGCTTGTCTGGGGAGCCATCACCATTCTGTGCTGCTACTGCAATTCTTCATAGACCAAAACGTGAGAGCCTGGCTTTGCCTCGCATGGGCCAAGAGCAAGCTGATCAAATTAAAATGCACTCTTGTTTTCACAGGCGTTTCTACCCCTTCTGAAGAAGGCAGCCCAGCTGAGCACAGGAATGGGCTGTCATAGAGCTGCTATTATCAATATGTCCTCTCTTGCTGCCTCCATGCAACTTGTCCAAGCAAATGAGATGTTCCTCAAGGTCTACCCCTACAGGATAGCAAAGGTTTGTAGGCTTCCCTGGGCTGTGCTCAGTGAGTTAGGGCAGGCCTGTGAATGAAAGACCACTCTGAGCTTAAGACGATGATCTGAGGTGTGCAGCACTTCCTTGGTTAGGCTGCGACAGGAACTGTTATTTTTCTTCACATGGGTGGAAATGGGACCTGTGAAAACTGTACATCTGGAGCAAGCATGACAAATTCTTAAGCACAGGCTCACAAGTGCACCATCACTACTCTGCTATAGATCCATTTCAGAGGGACTTGTCATTCAGGGAAGGACTGATGCCATCAAATGTGTGTCCTAATAGCCGTGTTCCTCTCCAATCCAAGCAAGATAGCAGGCATGAAACCCAACAAGATGTGTGCTGACCTGTACGTGGTCATGCTACTTATTGAGAGGTGGAGTTTTTAGTTTTGTCACATTGAGTTTGTATGAATAGTCACGATTAGACATACAGTTTCTCCTACACCACCTACTCATAAGCTGTTAATATGCTTGTTTTCCCTGTTCAGAAGTAAAAACCTGAATGTTTGTGTAGTGATTATTGCAGAAAAACAGAGTCCTTATGTCAGTATTATTTTCCCCACAGATCCTTAGGAGTTTCAAATACTACTTTATCTTTCATTATAACTTAGTTTCATCTTTGGGCAGTAAGTTTATGGCAATAGAGCTTTCATCTGTTAAGAGAAGCATTGTACTTCTGAGAATGAAGCCCTACTAAACCTGGATAAGTTACTGCGATACTGTTACTGCCCCTTCATTTGTCAGGAGACACCATGGTGGAAGGGAGATGCCAGTTAGCTTGGCTTAAGGCCTTGCTTAAGGTTTGTAAAACTAGAACACTAATAGATGGTTTCCACTCTTGTAGACTGCACTGAACATGATCACCAGGTGTCTTGCTGCAGACTTGAAATCAGATGGAATTCTCTGTATTTCTTTGCATCCAGGCTGGCTTCAGACAGACATGGGCGGAAACATGGTAAGTGACATTCTGGAAATGTGAAAGTATGAATCCCTTGTTGTCCCAACCCTTGAGCAAGAACCCACTGCACAGTATATATTTCCGCATGCTGCAGAGGCATGCTATGAAACATGAAAATGCATCCATTTGATTCTAGTAACTCCTTAAATGCATTTGATTCTTTTCTGTAGGGTATTCCTAGTAATAATCTAAGCTTGATTTTTCCCTAGGCTCCCATGCAGGTGCAAGAGGCTATCCCAGGTATTCTCTCCGTTCTGGACCGTCTTGGTGAAAAAGAAAATGGTTCCTTCCTGGACTGGCAAGGTGAAACTCTACCATGGTAGAAGTGCACAGTGTACTACAGAAACAGCATGTCAGTCACTATTTAACTTGTGCCACTAAAGTCTGTGTCTCTAGGGTTTTCTTATATGCTAGTTGAAATAGCCAGTCTGAAATCCAGCCTCTCTCTAGGTATATTTGGAAAGTGAGGTGGCTGACTCTTTTACTCGGTATCGCTACTGCTCTGTTCTAATGCTTCCTGCAAATACTACTGTGCTATTAGTGATGGGCATCTCCTGGAACCATCTAAAATGGATTAAAAACTGCAAGTTAAATCCAGGGGCTGGTTCCTCTTTACTTCCAAAACCAAAGTGGGCCTCTCACTCTCTGCAGAAGTAAATGACCTGACCTCAGAGTAAGGCCAGTGTAGGCTGTCAGATTCCAGTACGTTCAGTCTACTGGAGACATGTCTCTGGAAAAGGTCCTTTATTTTCCTTCAGTCCTAACTAAGCCAAGGCTGAAATTGCCCAGCTCTAAACTACATGAGTTTGGTACTTCTGTAAAGTCCTCGGCGACCTCCGACTGTCCCCAAGTTGACAGCACACACCAGGTACTTGCTTTGTTCCCAGTGGGTGACTAACATCCTGATACGGAGGTGGGAATGTTGTTTTGTACATAAACTTCTAAAGTGTCTTCAATAAAGTCTTGTTCAAACAAATAGTCTGTTTACTAAACTACTTCAATTAATTTCTCTGTATGTAGGTTTCTCTTCCCTGACCAGAGAACTGTACTCCTACCTTGCAGGAAGAAACTCTTAACAGTTGCTGTCTCCTTTGGGCTAGATGGGTTTAACATGGTGGGGGGTACCTGAAACTGAGGCAGACCCTTGTTCTCATCTGAAATACTAAAAGCAGCCGGTGAAAATACCTCTGTGTTCTGGCTGAGGTAGGGATAAAAGCAAAAAGTTCTTTGAAGTCTGGGATTAGCTTCAACATCACTCCCTCATGCCAGCTGATGAGGCACTTTCATGCTGTGCCAAGGTGGTGGGTTACTGCACCAAGTAAGAAAAGACAAACAACAGCC